ACCGTTATATTAATTTTCTTCTTTCTAGTCTAGTTACTTATAATGCATAGTGAATGGGGAAAAAAAGAAAAAAAAAACTACTCTCTTGCTGGCTTAATTACTCATTTGCTTGCTTGATTACACTTATATTCAAAGCAATTTTGTTCATTTTATGAAAAATGAATTCTAATTTTCTTGTATTGTTTAGTTAAAATAGTCTTCTGAATAAACCTCTTATCACTCCGTGGTATAACAATGCATTTCTTTAATAAACATTATTAGTTGTTCCAGAGAGGTTTTTTTTTTTTTTCCATAGGTTTTTGTATTACTAGTTTCAGTAGCAATTTCACCTAATTATCATTTGCAGAACCATCATGCCCAAGGTTACAAATGTGTAATCCGTCCCACTGGGAAAATTAAATCTTTACTACCATGAATCTTTTATAGAAGATCGTTGTTGAAGCCTCCTGGTAGCCATTCATGTCAATGTGTTTCCAGGATACTATTACAATTTGAATCCTATTCCTCATTATTTTAATGGTGACATGTTATATTTAAAAAATAAGGAATAATTGAAAACAAAATCCCAAAATAAAAATTAGGCAATTTAGGAAAATTCAGACTTTTCTATATATTGAAATTAACTTACTTTCTCTGAACAGTATCATATTGCCCTAAAAGTAAAATCAACATTTTAGTGATGTACTACCTTAGTAAATTTTATAGTTTCCTAATGTTGAAAATTCAATTTTATCACCCACAGGTATATAAAATGTTTTCTTGTGAGCGGGGATTTAGCTCAGTGGCACTGTTCCTGCTTCACAGCATCGAGATCCTGCATCCGATCACCAGGACAGAAAAGAAGGAAAAAAAAAAAGAAGAAGAGAGGAAGGAAGGCAGGAAGGAAGGCAGCCAGGCAAAGAAGGAGAAAAAAGATGTTTTCTCTTTAAAAAACTCAACTGGTTGTATTTAAATTTGTTTTAGGCAGAGCTGATATAAAACATTCATTGCAACTTTTTCTTCTCTGTTTTTATTGGCATTGTTTTTTCTTCATTTTCTGGTTAATTTCTCTATTTTATTTATTACCTCTATTGTTGATTCCTTAACTATGTGTTACTAAGGTCTGAGATGCTTTTTTTTTTTTGGTCTTCTCTCTTACATTAAGACTCCTTCCCTTTCCTGACCAGTCTTGCAGATATTTTGCGCATGCCTAAGAAAGATTTGGCTTCCGCTCTGACTCTCCCTTGAGTGCTACTCCCTTCTTTAAGACTAACTTCTAGGTCACTATGTAGAAATCCCCCCTCTCAAAAAGCAACTTATCGATAGCTGGTTCACATTCATTTCCTTTAGGGTGACAGACATCAGTTATGGTATGGCCCAAAAGCCGTCACTATAGCAATCAGGGCGGACAGCTGTGAAAGCTCATGCCGGTCACAGAAAGAGCCATTGAGAAAGAGAAAAACAGAACATGGCTGTAACAGGAGTAAGCACACACGGGCAATCAGCCTATTATAATGATTCTTCAAGTAGAAAGTGACAAAGTAGGAACGCTCCAGAAGCCTGGCTAGGTCAGGTGCACCACACCAAGGTCCAGCAAGAACCAGAGTAACTACGACAAAGGTCTATAATAAAGAAATGATTTGACGCTTGTAATACTGAATAAATTAAGTACGAAGATCAGCAAGTTGTAGAGAATTCCCTTCAGTGTCTTAAGGGGTAAATTGTGTTAGCACTGAACTTCATATGTTGAGGTTCTAATACCTCAGAAGGTGACTGTATTTGAAGACGGGGCTTTTAAAGACATTCTTGATTTTAAACGAGGCCTTTTAAGGTAGATCCTAATTCAATCTGACTTGTTATGGAAGAGAAAATCTAGATAGGCAAAGCGATGCCACGATGCAACGAATGAGTGAGAACAAAGGACAGAGAAAGTGAGGAAGCAATGAGGTGGTGACCATTTGCAAGCCATCGAGAGAGGCCCAGGAATAGACACTCTGCTCTTAGACTTCTTGTCTCCTTAACTGTGAGAAATAAATATCCGTTTCTTAAGCCTCACGGTCACTGCTGTTTTGTTATGGCAAGAAGCGCTGAGTAATGGCATCAATGACGAAATCACAGGAAATAACTGAATAACACATTATTGAGCTCATTAAATGAGTCCTAATAGTTTGACTCACAGAAATGGGATTGTTAAAGTTTGGAGCAGAACATTTTAATTATTTTTAATAATGTGCTCTGATTATGTTACTGTCATTAACTAATGTTCTTCAAATAGTAATAAAACACTATGTGTAAAAAAGATAAGGCATAGATGCCATACTTAATCATTTTCTATCCTAAATGGGCCTTCCTTGACATTTTCTAACAATCCCTCTTCTTTCATTTTTCTTATTTTATCTATATTTGCTATCAACATGTTATTTTATTTTTTTAAATTGATGTGATACACAATAATTTTCATATTTTGGGGTTTCATTATTCTTAATACATATATACATGAAATAATCAAATCAGGCTACTTAGCATATGCATCTCCTCTTCAAATTCTTTATGAAATACATAATAAATTGTAAATTACAGCCCTCTTGCTGTTATAGAATGCTAGAATTTATTCCTGCTATTGAATTATATTTTGTTTACGCTTACACTCTCAGCTTCATCCTCTTTCCTTTCTATACAAAGTTTCTGAGATTCGTGGTTCAAGAATTAAATCTGCAATTCTAGTCTCTCCCCACCACCCTCAAACCAGTGTCTGATTGCAGGCCTGTCCCTGCATGCCCCGTGCATGCATCTGGGGCTCTACAGGGAGAAGTGGGGACATGGGAACGATTTTCATGATGGAAGATGATGCTCCATTGAGCTATTATTCCTTTCGCACATTTACCTTTCCACCAAATTCACCTAACAGAGAAAACCGGCACCTTCTAATTGCTAATGCCAGTGGGCCCGATTTAGCCTTTCTTAATGAATTCTACGTATATTTGCAATTCACTGTTATTCCCTCCTTCTTCATTTTCTTTAAGCCCTAAGATTATAAAATATCTCTTCTTGGTGTCCCCCGCCTCTGACTTTTCTAAGTATGCCACTTTTCTGCACTTCTGTTTCTCCCACCTGTATTTCATATACCATCTGGTCCTCATATGTGCACGCTTCTTAATCTGAACATTCCCTTGGGTCACCTCAGAGATTCTTGAAGTTTTAATTACATTATAGGCTGCCTGCCTCTTTTCCTTCCTGTCCTATATATTCAGTCCCAATACTTCCTTCAACAGCAGGCATATAAGACAAATCACTCTGGGCAGCACCTCCTAAATGTGCCCTTAGTATCTTTCTTAGTCATTTTTCTTTTCACTGGTACAAAATACCTTATGCCTACAATTTAAAAGAGAGGTTTATTTTGGCCCTTGTCTGCCAGGCTTACACACCAAACTGGCATGGTGGAAGAATCAGGAAGCTGCAAAGCTGCTCACTTCGTAGTGCTCAGAAAGCAGAGAGAATCAGGGAGCCCGGGAGTGAGATAGAGCTTTCCAGGTCATGCCCCAGAGTTTCTGCTCTAACAAGGCCATACGACCTAACAGCACTTTTATCTCTGAACTCATCCATGGATTAATTCCCTGATGAATGCAGTGCCCTTTGTGATCTACTCACCCTCTAAAACACTACCTGTGAGCACATGAGGGCTCTGGGGGACATTCTTGATCCAAACCATAACAGTAGAGTGGACCCTTGACTCAATGCATTTTCAAGGGTTGGCTATAACTAAGTCGACACAGCTGGGACCTGGATGTTTACCTGAGTACATGCTACATATAACAAGAGATAGGCAAATCTTCCATTAACCTAATCAACCCAACTTTTTCATATGTCAGGCCAGTCGTAACTTCAGGATCCACTTTATTTGTGGCATATATACCTATATTCCACATCTTGAGTAATGACTCTACTGTCTGCTAGATTTCTTCAACTCTTTATCTTGGAGTCAGCCTGGATAATATCAATGAGTCACCAAATTCTGAACTATTCACCTGATGTTTCTTAAATGTGCTATTGTCTTCTCTGCCTCAATTTTCATTTTATCTACTATAGTAAAATGACAACTCAATTGTCCCCAGCTCAGGAATACTATACTAGATAAAACCTTGGAGAACTATTGCCCAGAATAATGCAAGCTCTGAATAGGTTCTCTGAAATCCCAAGTTTATATCCATCTTCTGAAAAATGGTGTCCTGAAATTGCATATATTGCTCTGAAGGAAAGATTCTAATCATTTCTGTTATTCAAAGAGATATAATTCATACAGCACACAATACTTGTTTCCCTTATAATACCTTACAAAGGGTTGGGATTGGGCTCAATGGTTCTGCCACCTGCCTTGTAAGTGCAAGGGCTGGCGTCAGATCCCCGGTACCAAAACAAACAAACAAATACTACCATATACTACCTTACAAGACCATCCTAGATAAGGCTTTTAAAAATTCTTCCATCCTCAATTCCTCATCTTGCACTTTACATTTTCTTAGCTTCAAATTTCCCTGGATCTTTTCAGGAAATTTGATTTCTCTGTGCCTCTGTTCATGCTGTCTTTTCTGCCAATATGTCCCTTTCTATCTCAGACCCACTGTTTTCCCCTAGGACTATCGATCTTTCTTCTTGGTTTCTTAAGCCACCCATTTTTGATGGAGCAGGTGATATTTATGCTTCGACATAGTCTTATCAAATACATTGCCCTAGAATAGCAGGCTACTAATTTCATTACTAAATAAGTGATATTTCAACTCTCCTTGCCAATGTATAACATAGCATACTGCACTTCATGGTAACCTAAAAATTCATTCAGAATCAGCTGTCAGAAATTACTGTTGCCAGTGTTTTAGCTCAGTGGTTCTGCTGCTTGCCTTGCAAGCCCAAGGTCCTGAGTTCAATCCCTGGCACCAAAAAATAATAAAAGAATTACTCCTCTGTTCACTGTAATGTGAAGGCATATCCTTAAGATCTCTGGATTTGTATCACTCCTTACTCACCATATTTATGGGATCAACTGGTCCAATGCTGTTTACATAAACATCAGTTTCTATTACTGTAGGCCTCACTGCAAAATACCAACACAGAAAATGGTCAGAGTTATCTTCCAAGGTCATCTTAAAGAAATCTTAGCTTTAGATCAACCTTAATAATTTGTAATTTTCCAGTATTTTAATCAGAAAAGGTCCCTCATCATGAAATGCAGAAATACCACCCCTTATAAGAAACACAAAAACCTTTTCAGTGTACAATTCCATCATATACATAAAAATATTTTAATTAGAAATTCCAGAGTATGTGCTAAAGATATTAAAATATCTGAATCATTTACCTAATATGAGTAAGTAAATTCCACAAAATAATTGCTAATTTGTTCTAAATTCACCATAGAATTGTAGGATTAGAATTAATGTGGAGACTAACTAGCATATAATTCTACTGAATGCCTATTGATAGTTGCTATTAAATATTTAACGACTTTGTTCTCAGAGAAGAGGGAAAGATCTGATTTGTAGCTTCTACTGCTAAGTTGTAAATATTCCCACAATGTCTTTTTTAAAGATATCAAAGTAAAAGAATTGAATGCAGAATTATAAAATGTAAAATAAGTATTCAGTATGAAACAATTTTCAGCACACATTAGAATGTGCAGTACAGCTGTTAAGTTCTTTAAAATTAATGGGCATAACGAATATTAAAAAAACTATTCAGATCTAACTTGTACATGAAGCTCAGTAAATGTCTGTGTGTGCTTCCTTCTGTCTGCTCCTGTTAAAAAAATTTTTTTTCGATTATTGACAGTTGGCCCCAGTGTCAGTCACTTTTACTTTTACTCTCACAGACTCTATCTTACAGGCTTCCCTGTGGATTTTGTTAGTGTTCTTTGTGTGTAACCAAACTGTTTTCTCCCTAACTGAAAACAAAACAAAATAGTGTTTCAATGGTACAGATAATATTTTAAAAATTTTATCAAAATGTGTGACACTGATTAGCCTTTCAAATGTTTACCAAACGATAAAATTAAAATTTACCTAGAAGAGTGTCTTATCTGATGGTGATTAAGGCTTTCTTATTCCCTTTATTTTCCTCACATTTTTTATTAGTGCATATTGATTAAACCAACGAATGGATTCAACTTTGGCAGATTTGCACATGCACATAAGATACTTTGATCGTCCCTGCGATGCTCCCTCCCCCGCCCACTGCCTTAGTTTCACACGATGTGTGGGAGGTTCAAGGATAACGTGCTTTGCTCCTTTCTGTCTCATCACGTAGTCTTACACGCCATTTCTCTCCTGCTTTAAGCCATTCCTCTTGTCGAATAACAGTCTCCCTTGTACTTTCTGGACATTTTTTGTTTTAGACTCCACATATTAATTAGGGAGCCCATGGGATATTTGTCTTTCTGAGTCTGGCTTAGCTCGACATGATGATCTATATGTTGATCCATTTTATTGCTAAAAATAACGTTTTGTCGGGCTCTTTTAGTCTTTTCTTTAATGAGATTTTTAGCTTCATCTAATGAAGTTTGGAAGAGTAAGGACAATTCATCCCCTCATTTTTCTGTTTGCTATGAAAAACATTTTCACATAGTTTGTTTTACTCCCCTCGTCACCAAACACACACACAGCATTGAGCTCATTTCTTCATTCAGCAAATATTGGTTCCAGAAAAGGGGTAAAGCATTCACAAGGCAAACAAAAAGACAAAAATTTCAAGAAGAAAATTTGTGTTTTTCCCAGAGAATTTATAAAGAGAAGGCAAATGAGATAAAGCAGAAAAGTAAGGATTACCTTGTAGATGGAAAGTTTTTCTGCTACTGCAGCATGATTTTCCTTATTTTTGTTCAGTTCGTCTTTCTAAAATTTATCTGGTTTTCCTTTCTGTCCTAGCATTTAACACACTTAATTCAGAAGTAACGACTGAGCTGGTAGGCTGCACTTTCTCCTCTATCTTCTGAATCCACCCCTCTGAGTATCTCTCAGGCCGTGTCTGTCTAGCTGTCTTAACATTTCCGGGTAACTGTACTGTATCCCTAAAATGTACCAATAAACTCAATTAAAGCTGAAAAAAAAAAATTTCCGGGTATGGCAGAATCTCCAACCTACCAAACATCAGTGGAAAAGTTTTGGTATTTTCCAAATACTTATACAGATTTAAAATAATACTTTTAGGGCTGGGGATTTAGCTCAGTGGTTAAGTGTCCTGCCTTGCAAGCGCAAGGATCCAAGTTCAATCCCTGGTAACAAAAAATAAATAAAAATAAAATAATACTTTTAAATGCTTTACAATGGGAAAAAATTGTCTACCTTTTCAAAAACAGACAATACTTATCTAGGTTTGGGGGTTGTTTTTATTATATATTATACCTATCTTCTTAAAAAGCAAAATGAATAAGGTTTGTTCAAAATTGTCGCAGTATATGAAACTAAGTTTCCTGACCTATACATTACAGAAAAGTAATCCACCTTCTTAGTCAACAATTAGGTATTGTAATTAGAAGTAAGTCATGTGACCTATAGACGATTTTGTAATTTAACTGAGGCCAATGACCACTGAGATGAGCTGCTTTAATTGTTTACCATTTATTTCTGACTAGCTGCAAATTGTAGCCAATACATATCACATAATTACACTAATTATGGCTAGATTTGCAGAATGATTTTTAGAAAAGTCAATTAACAACAATGCGATAGTTTCTTCTTTTAAATTTAAGTATATTTATTGCCAGTTATAAGCAATGTCCCACTCTTACATAATTGTATTTCTTTTCAATTACTAAAATAAATTAACAAATATTGAGTTGCTGCATTTGCTGTGCAATCCTTGTGGCTAAATACTACCTTCACTGAGAGAAGTAAATGGTTTCTAGGGACATTTTTATTTTCAGGACAGGCTTGACACATTTACATTGTAGAATGTTTAGTTATAAATTAGTTAACCTGCTTTCCTGATATCTAAACTCCTTATATAATGATGAAGCTATAACATGAAGCTACATAGTTTCATAGTTAGAAAAATTAATTCCAGCCTTAGGGCATGGGTTCCATAGCACCTAAGACACTGAGATACTTTATGAACAACATAAAGCCACTGGCCCAAGGATGGGACCAAAGAAGAATCTTATCAGAAAGTTCAAAGTAGAAAATTGTTATTAGTAAAGAGATAATTTACAATAATTATTTATTTTAAAACTATGATTTTTTTTTCTGTTTTAGTCATTTTATTTTTTAAATCAATTTAGGTCAAGTAAAACCTCCAATTCTGGAAAGTAAGTTTTACACATATTTACACATATTTATAACTTTGGGCTGGTGGCATTTGATTCAGTCCTTTAATTTGCAGAAGAGAAAAAAGTAAACCTGTAAGTAAAATGAAATATTTAAGATTGATTTCGAAACTACAGGTGGTAATTATGTGCCTCAAAATAAAACGATTAAGAGAAAAACAACAGAAAAATGTAACTGCTCTGTAATGAACAGTGACTCACTGCCACTTTGATGACTTACAGTATGCATAACACATGTGGATAAAATTACTTCAAGTGTCACAGGAGGTGAGAAAATGCCCTTTTCAGCACTATGATTTTCTTAGACCAACATTTGTTCCATAGCCAGATTTTCATGACGTTCAAACAGGAAAACATCATCCTTCAATTCAAAGCTAGAAAAATGCAACTAACAGAATGTCATTCCAAGTTTATTAAATGACGTCTTGTAAGCAGGAGCAGATTATGTTTAATTCATCAATACATACAGAGATCAGAGATTTTTCTTTGCAGCTGTGCAACACTGAGTGAGAAACCCATGCATTGCCACAGCAAATTACATTTTTTATATATAGAAGGCAGGTAGAGATGACATTGAATTTTTGCAAGGCCCTTTTCTGTGCTATGATTCTAGTACTTTCTTTACACCACCAGAGTGTAAGCAGATAAACTGCCACAGAGAATGAGTATATAGAAAGAACAGACTCAAGGCAACTTGAGCATCCACAGAATAAGAAAAGAAAGAAAAACATTTTTTACAGTTAAAAAGCAGAAGCAATAAAATCAATACGGCTTCCACATTCAGTTTCCAAGTGGCTAAGGGAAAACTGCATAAAGCCAATTCCAGAGGTGAGTAATTGGTTTATCAGACAATATAAACTAAAATGTATTTTTAAAATATTTTCTCCAAATTGAGCTTAAACATTGTTTCTTGAACACCTTATTCTAAACTTTTTAAGATGTGTTCAGCAAATTATATAGTGTTTTGGTCATTTTTATCTTTTTTAATCAATTTAGGTAAATGAAAAACTCCAATGCTGGAAAGTGAGTTTTATACATATTTCTTACCATTAGGAAAAGTCATTAAAAATAAAAAACAAACAGCCTCACTTGCCTAAGATATTACAGTGAGCACACAGAAAGCAAGCGCATGGACCCAAGGAATCAATATAACATAGGAAAAAAACAGAAGAAAAGGACAAAATTATAAGACAAGTGACAGTCAAAACAATAAAAAATCGCTAATAACCAGGAGGAAAATCCAAACAATATAAATATGATAAAACAAGGTTAGAAGATCAAAGTGCAAGTTGGGAAATATAAGACAAGTTAAGTTTGTGATTAACTAACTTATATTTGCAACCCTTTAGAGAAGTCAATGCAGTGCAACAAAACTAATAGGCAATATTATAATGGAACATACATAAATAAATAAATCTTTCTGGAGTTGAAAGGAACATGAAATAGAATCATGAAAAGAATTACTGAACAATTCTAAGATTTAAACTAGTAAAACTATTCAATTGAAAGATAAAAAGTACCTCAAAAATATCAAGAAAAAATATAAATAAATAAAGTACAAAGCCTAAAGAATTGGTCTGGTATCCAACTTCTCAAAAATAACACACAGAACAAGTCACCAGTGAAAGAACCTATTAAAAAGAAAACTAAAAAAACAAAACAAAACAAAACAAAAACACTAACCAATGGTTTCTTATCTAGCCAACCTATCATTCATATATGAAGTCCATAGAAAAAAAGAGCAAGAGAATAGATTCATTCATAGGAAAATGGATACATATTGAAAAGATACACAAAAAAACAAAACAAAACAAAACAAAAACACTAACCAATGGTTTCTTATCTAGCCAACCTATCATTCATATATGAAGTCCATAGAAAAACAGTTTTCCAAACATAAAAGCTATCTCAAAAAAATCTACTGAATTGGGCAGGAGATTTAGCTCAGCCTGACTCACAAGTGCAAGTACACGAGTTCGATCCCACTACATAAATCAATCAATCAATCTACTGGAGTGATAAATGACCGGGAAAACTTCAGCAAAAAAAGACAGAAAAAAAATAGACTAATGAAAGATCTTGTAAACAGCATATATGTCTATCTAAGCATAAATAGATAAGGAAAATGTGATATTTAAATACAATGGTGTTAATATACTGACATCAAGATAGATAAACAAGGTTTTCACAGGTAAATGAATGTAACTTGAGAGCACAATGCTAAATGAAAAACGGCAGGCACAAAAGCATAAGTATTTACTATAAAAACTATGATAATATCCCATACATATCAAAAATAATTTTAAACTGGGCACAGCTCACTGCTATAATCCCACCACATCAGGAGACTGGAGTAGGAGGATCTCAAGCTTGAGCTCAGCCTGAGCAACTAAGCAACTTAGTTAGACATTGTCTTAAAATGAAAAATAAAAAAGGTGTAGCTCAGTGCCAAGGTCCTAGATTCAGTTCCCCCTACTGTCAAAATATAATAATAGTAATAAGTTTAAGTAATTGCAATATGACATGTGTTGAAAATTATCTATCACTAGTAACACTTGAAACAAAGATGTCAAAAATGAATAGCATAGTAACAATGGAAGAAGCAAAAAGACTCTCCTAAATGAATTTATATCACAAATGAAAAAATGTGTAGGAATTTTATATTCATTAAATTTTCAGACACATGTGATATAGAGAGATTTTAAATTTAAAAACTGTACATTTATTTACTAACAGTGAGAAAATAAGATAACATGATTCATAACTGTGAAGTTTTCATTGTTGGGAGAGAGAGTGACAAATAAAGATTAAAGGCTAAAATAATCCTATAGTATTTGAATTCGAATCAGTACAGGTTTGTGATTCACAGTATGAAGGAGAGGGCTAAATACAGATGCCTAGGAATGTGTGAAAAACATATTATTTCATGCTTCCATGTAATGAGAGGATCAAAAAACAAAGACACTCAATATTGATTAATATATTTAGCACCTCGACTTTACATTCTTTATACTATGCTAGAGAAACAAAAGAGAAGTCATGTCTCCTTGAAAAAATATTGAATTCTACTCCTGGGTCAAAATTAGCCTGCAGTATTTAACATGCTAGAAAGTAAACATGAACTCGGAGAAATGATGAATATATGTGATGGTATATTAGCCAAATTATAAGGGATTTTAATGGTCAAATCTTTATTTGCATTGTACCATAAAATATATATGATAGCAATGGATTATAAGATAGAAAATAAAAGGAATAACTATGAGTCTATACTATGGTGAAGCAGTAAGTTTACAACTACATAGAGAGGAAATAACCCTTCCTTATGTTTAGATGCCAGTGATCATGTGTAGAAGGAATGATGGTGATACCGAGTCTCACTTGGAAAAGTGCAGCAGTAAGGGTCACAAGTAAGAAACAGAGATATAAGGGACAAGACTGCTAAGAAACATTTCTGTAGTTTCGCAGAATCACCTCAAGACATGTGAAGTAATCAGAAAGCTACAAATTAAAACTTCACAGTAGGGACATCTAGTATAAACCACATTTAAACACATAATAAAAGTTAACATAATAAGCAAGAAGACACAGTAACCTCCTGTTACAATACAGTGCACAATATCAGTGCTGTGGCACCTTGGTAAAAATGCATAACCTCACCTGAGGTCATACTCATAACTGAAATAAATAGGACACACATATGTTAACATCAAATCATTTCTCTGGTGTAAAAACCTCAAGGTGTACATGAGGACCAAAATATATAACAGATATTGTGAAATAGGAAGAAAATGTTCCAAGGCAAACGGGAACTAAGGAGTGGGGCATAGGACAGGAAAGAAGGGCAAAAAAAAAAAAATTGAAAGAAAGAAAAAATGGAAACAAAGCTTATATATATGGGGGTGGAGTTGAAGGCAGGGCAGGGGATAGGAAAAAATCAAAATCAAAATATATCATATACAGGTACAGTTTCTCAAGGATGAATGTGATCATCAGGTATACCTAAATATACCAATAAGCTCAATAAAAATAAGACAAAAGAATGACATGTAATCTCAAATTCAAGGACACTTAACTGGTTAGTACTGATTACAGTTATTAAAGGCATTGAATAAAACTAAGAAATTATACCAGATAAAAGGAGAATAAAGAAACATGAGAACATAATGCAATGTGTGATCTTTGGGGGAATTCTTAAGCAGAAAATAAAACAGCTACAAAATAAGATAAAGTTCGGTAACCCAGTTAATAGTATGGCATCAATACTATTTTCTGGCTCCTGTACATATTCTGTGGTTGCATACAATATTGACCTTAGGGCTTATATTAAGTGACTGTGGGACTTCTATGTGTTAATTCGAAAATCACTAAATCCACTATATATTTTATTAAGTCTACAATTTATTTTGAAATGGAATGATTTTAGCAATCTAAAAAAACAGAAAATTAAACAGAAGGAAAATAGATTAATATAATTAATTATATTTTGCAAGAAACTGAAACTTCAGACTATTTTTCAACCCTAAAATTTGATAAAGCCAAATTTTGATTCTATGAAAATACAAATAAAATTTAAAAATACTACAACATTAATTCATAAATCAAGGAAAAGTTTACTAATAATAGGAATAAAAGAAGAAAAATATCAGACTTTAAAAATATTAAAAATATCACAACATATATTATGAAACAATTCAACACCTGCTTTAAAAGATTTCAAATAAATTATTATGCAAAGTTCAACCTCTCACAATTGACCAAAGAATAGCATGTTTTTATAAACTGATTATATTTAAATTTTGAAGTGTTAAAAATTTTTTCACTAAAGGAAACTTTAAAGCAACATATCTTTGCCCAAATGTATTTCTGAATATTTGTGAAACATGTCACATCTATTTTAGACAAACTCATACATAAAAAGGGAAAAGTGACTCATTGGTAGGTACTAATAAAATCTTAATTTCAAAGCTATAAAAGGCTTTACAGACAATAAAATAACTAATCAATATCTTTCATGAGCATGGATATAGTATTCTAAAACAAAATTCCAAACTTATTCTAGTGATCTTTTTTAATGTTACTAGATCAGAAAAAAGTGAGCAAAATGTCAGTCTAAATTTCTAAATTGCTCTAAGATATTTACAGAATAAATAGCAAGTAAAATAAAGAGCAAAATATGATTGTGTGATTATTTCAATGCATGCACAGAAAATATTTGATACATGGGGATAATTCCAGTGGAAAACAAAAATTTAACCAAGTGTCTTTAAAAAAGAAGCCCACAACAAACATCATAGCTACTAGGATAATATAGATTGATTTTTCTGATATCGGAAACAAGCCAAGACTATTCAAAATTGTGTTCTAGTCCTGACCATTGAAATCTTACATGGGGAAATGTATGATATGAAAAATGAAGAAGTAAGATAGCAATAAGTAGCAAAAATAGTAATCTCTTTCTTATAAAATCTCAGATAAATCTATCAATACATTATTAAATTAATAAATTCATCAAGAATTCTGAGAGCCCAATAAATATATAAAGTATCCATTATGTTTATGAATATTGAAAACACAAACTTATAAAACTACCTCTTTTAAAAAAATATTCATTCAGTCTTCCATCAAGAACCCTAAACACATGGACTGAAATCTAATCATGGTAGCAATGCCTCATCAAGGAAAAGACAACTTTAAAAATCACATATAAATAGACAAAAGGATAATGTTTACAGGTTTGATATGGCAAAAGTTCAACACTAAAAATTTTCATTTCACTATGTTGGCTATATATTAATGCAATGAAAGTCTTTGTTTACGTACATTTACTTGTTTTAAAGAGTTAAAGTGGAATAAATAAAACTGAGAAGGTTAAATATTGCATGATTTCACTTACAGAAAAAACCCACAGGATAAATAAAGTGTAAAATAAAAGAAAAATGCCAGGAAACAGGGAAGTACAGATTTTAGAGTTGGGGAAGGGGGACAAAGGAAATGTAAAGAGGGAGAGAGAATGGAGAGATGTGCATAATATATGTATAGTGTATATGTGTTTGGAGGTATATATACATATTCCCAAAATGAGTGAAATGTTTAACTATATCAATAATTTTAATAAAAGATAAATCTCATGCCAGGGATTTAGCTCAGTGGTTCTCTGCCTGCCTCACAAGCATAAGGACCCAAGTTCGATCCCCAGTACCAAAACAAAAAACAAACAATAAAAGATAATTCTCAATGCAAAACTTACAAGTTATCTTGGAGATAACATTAATATTTAATTTCAAAGGACCAGTCTTGAACAAAGTTGATTGCCTCCACTAAATATATCATCAATTTTTATAATTCTATGTCCACTAAAGCAATATGATATTGGCATCAAACTACACCTCTTAGTTATACTTAAGCATTAGCTTTCTTATGGAGTGTTTCTTAGTCCTTCAGGACTTTTTTTCAAAATTCTGCTGAAGCACCTTTTATCATAGCACTTATAAAATAATTACATTAAAAATGTTTACATAACTCTTTTCACTTTAGACTGTGAACTTTATAGACAATAATCATTCCACCTAATAGTCCTCAAATCTAACATAGTCTCTGACAAAACGTACATCAAATACTCAAAGACCATGAGATAAATGTTTAAGTAGCATGAGAGAAGATATTTTTCATAGTCAACAACATCCCCGAATGAAAATTCTAACTTACCTCCTATATCTGGACGAAGCTTATTGTCATAGCCTTGAAGCAGTGAGTTGAGAATTTGTGTAATATCTCCTTCGTGAATTTTTGGTGCCAAGACCCATGTTTTGTTCACTGTTAAATCCTCATCATCTTCATCATCTACTTTATCGACACTAAATAATTCAAACAAAATTTTGAATGACATAAGTTAATCAAACTGTATATATGGATTGTAAATGGGGAGAGTAGGAGGGGGTGAAAGGAGGCAGGGACAAGGGGAAAAATGAGAACAAGACCTGCCATGTAAAGGTACAAGATCCCAATGATGAATGTAACTGTACTGTATACCTAGAATGTACCAATAAACTCAATGAGAAAAAAATTATATATATGGAACAGTGTAAGATTAGCATAATTTCATAAGGGAGAATTAGGGATGTAAAAAATTATAGAAATGTTACTGCCAGTATGACCAGTGCTTTTATCCTATTAGCTATCCTGATCTAATAATACTCAGAAATTAAGAATTGAGGACAAGAAACATAATGTAAAAATAATAAACATAACATCATAATGTATTAAGCATAATCTCAGAATAATATATCATTTATATCATCATAATAATGAACCTAATATCAAAATAATGAATTTTGACTACTCCCACAACCACCATTAAAACTCATACAGATGTTGGACCAACAGTGGTGCCCCATCAGAACAATCATACATGGTGACCCCAAAATATCACACTCAATAATGAGAATTACAAGGTGAAGAATTAGAGGATGAGTTATAATAGTCTAGGAAAATATATGAAAATGTTTGTATATAACATAAGTAAGGAAAGATGCATGAAGTACTATAGAAGGAAAGAAAAGTATTGTACACACACTTCTGACTCGCTAGTTGATATTTCTGGCCATGTTTCTGGGTTTTGCAAGGCTAAGATTGAGTTTCATTCTGAACTGTGGTAGAACCATGCAATAAGTTAGCTGTTTATCTACAATAAACTAAAAGTAACAAAATTTTCTTTATTACATATAAATAAACCCATCCTAATTTTAGGAAAATAGTTCCAGGTTTAGCAACACAGACAATTACAGTATATCTCTAGTGCTCTAGTGGAAAAAGATCCAAAAGTTAAAACACTTACATTGATAAATTTCTAATACACTAGGTTACTTATATGACATGGATGGAACCAAAATGGAACCACAATGGACAAGAAGCCTGAGAGAAAAATATACTTTGAGGATTAAAAGCCACTGAGGATTGGGAGTAGTTCATTATCACAGCATAACCAGATGTGTCTCTGGTAACAGCTTTTGTGTAGTTCATTTTCACTGACTGAGGAAACAAAATTTACAGATGTTTAATAACATGTGCCTCTATTCTGCTACTAAAAATATCATCACTTTTTCCCACTAATGGCATATCAATTAAATAGACAGCCTTAGTAAAATCTCAGCCAAAGCATTGTTAGCCTTACCTTGTGAATACATTGTGCTTGTTACAAAATCTCAAGGCCCCTAGTCAGAAGCTAACTATTAGATTTCAAGACCTATGCTCCTTCCATTTTTTTATATCCCATTACTTTACAGATGAGGAAGCAATCTGAGAAGTTAATTACCTTGATCATGGTAACATTGTTAATACAGTAGACCTAGGGTACTGACACCTGCATTTCACAATGAAAACAACTTAATGCCATTTCCAATGTAAGTGAAATTTACAAATGAACATAAAGGCTTTTATGCCCAAATTCTATGAATTAGCTATTACAAAATGTATAAAGCCAATTTTGATCACACATGTAATTAATATATTTTTATTTGAGTATTCTATTATAGTATATATGATACAGAAAAATATAAACAAGAATGCTTATGTATCATAGCATTATATAATGGGACGATTTTAAACAATAAGAGTATGTCACAATAAATAATGACATAAGATTCTGCACACCCATGTTTATAGCTTCACAGTTTGTAGTAGCTGAAACTTGGAAACAGCCCATTTGCCCATCAGTTGGAAACTGGATAAAGATGTGGGTTTTTTCTATAAAATGGAATATTACTCAGCCATAAAGAATGAGAAATTAGATTCATTTCTAGGAAAATGGATACATATTGAGGATATACTCCTAAGTGAAATAAATAAGTCACACATGTGTAAATACTGAATAGTTTCTCTGGTGTGAATAAACTATAACAGTACATAAGATCCTAATGAGATAACTGACATTGTGAAATGGGAAGAAAGGGGCTAAAGGTGTAGGGAAAGTGGGAAGGGTAGGGAAAAGGTAATAAGGGAAAAGAAAAAATATGAGAAAATAAAAAAATAGAAATGAAGTGTTTGCAAGGGGAGGAGGGGGTGAAGGGAGGGCAGGGACAAGGGGAAAAAATGAGAACCAAGACCTGTCATGTAGAGGTACAAGATCTCAATGATTAATGCAACTGTACTGTATCCCTAAAATGTACCAATAAACTCAATGAGGAAAAAAAATAATGACATAATCACGTAACTACTGTAAAGATTTGTTCACCTGATGACAGTGAAGCATATGTAAAAACATGAAATCATTTTCTTAATTTCACATTATATGAAAATTACATATAACAATTTGTTTCTATCATCATTTATGTATAATTTATAGAAAACAGAATAATGTGTGTTCTTAATGTGATAGAAGTTGTGAAATATAAGGTTTTTTCTTCATGTTAATAGAATCCTATAATATCCTGTGCACATTTTATAATACTGTATTAATATACAAAAAGGAGTTCATTTGACAAGAATGCCTATGTACAAATGAACTGCCTCTTCTTATATGAGAGAAACTGCTCAGCAGTTAATTTCTAATCATAGAAGATAAATAATTAAGCATAGTCTTTTATGGAGAGAGGCAGAGCATTATAACCTGTCTAAAAATTTTTCATGGCAGCTCTGAAAATTTGCCACTTGGTCCTCTGGCCTGGGAACATGAGTTGCCTGAGTACAGCTGCCAGGATCATGGTTCTATATTGAGTCTGTATAGACCCCTGTTGCCCCAGGCCGCTTTCAGGCAGTAACGGAACATGCAAGTTGCATTAGTGGAGATTCATTTCATTACCACCAGCGTGAGGCCTCCACAGAAGGGTAACTTGCCTTAGGACTTGCACTGGCCCTGCCAAAGCTTTCTGGAAAGGGCGTCATACTGTGAGCCTCATGTGATCCAAGCCTCCTCTTCTCTGTTTTCATAGGTGTCAGTCATTCCGTTTTACCCAAAGCTGCTCTCCTCTCCAATCCTAATCCTCCTCTCCCTTTTACCTTTTCCGACAAGACTCAAAAATCTCAACACGTCTAGTCTAATCGCATCTAGACAGCAACTTCGCAAAGGCTTCGCTTACCTTCTGCAATTACATTCTTTAAACTTTAGAGAAAGTCCTGAGTCATATATATAATTGCTTCTTTTTTGTCTTACTGACGTTTTTTCAACCACTTTGTAAATACAAATTACTCAAGAAATTTCATATGAAAAGTATTTTAATGTCTGCACTAATTTTATATTACAAATAGGAAATTTGAACGAGTAACTAAGAAACAATTTAAATGCTAAGCATATTACTCCATAGAATTATGAAGGAAAGGTATCTTTATCATTGAAGAAAAAGTAGATTCCTGTTGCAAGTCAGTCAGTTCATACAAACTATTTTTCATGGTAAATATTCATTGAAGTTTTCCCAAGACAGTTCTACTTTATATTTGTGGTCCTTGAATAATTTTTAATAGCACCTTCTCATTCACAAAACAGCCTACTTTGAATGATAAATTATATAGTCACCCTGTAGATGGTTCACATAAAAGTGACTGTGCGTGCTCTGATTCTGAAACACAAGGGATCCTCTTCCATTAATCTGCTAAAGAAGCAGAGATGAAACCCAGGGCAGCTTAATGAGTTGCCTGAAAATTTGACTAAACTCTGAAGGAATAGTGATAGACTGTTTTCCCCATAGTTTGAATATATGTTATAAGTGCAAGTGAAATATATTGATGAGGTCATTTTTTATATTTCACTGGAAGAAAAAAGTCACTTTATCTTGCACAAAGTATATACTGGAAAAAAATCACTGGAAAGTAAATATAATAAATATTCTGGAAACATTACTTACACTTCAACACTTTTGAATTAGTTATCCACAAAGGAAAAAATTAACCAGGCCTCTCAAAAAGTTAACATCAAATTTACTTATGTTTTTATTGTTATTGTTTGAGGTTACGGTAACTTAATATTATACAATAGATATGACAAAATATTACTAACAAGTTGATCAGTACACTAATTCAAAAATTAGATAACAGGTATACTTGGTGAAAAGACTTGTATTCTTGCCTTTTATGCACAGTGAACAATGAAATATCTTCAGAAATTATGTCTACCAGTATTATAATTTTAAGATCATTGAATACAACTAATTAATTGGGTCATTTTCCTATTGCTATCATTTTAATATTAATAAATACAATTAAGTGCATTGTTTTGGTATCATTAACATTTCTTCACTTACTTGAGAAAAGTAAGTACACTGGGAAAAATGTAGTCTTAAAACCGAAATTTTACATGTTTTACATCACAACCAAGAACCACATTCAAGATAATTTATCTCATTGAATTTCCATGGTTAACTACATGTAATATCTCCAAAGATTCTAGAAACTTTATATTGAGGGCCCTCACACTAAATATACCTAGAAATAGGACCTTTGAATTATAAGCACATTAAAACCAGTCACTTGATATTTATTACATAAAAATAAGGAGGCTGGAATTATGCAAATGTGCTACAGTCTCATAGTTAATATTATTTTAATATCACTGGCAAAAATCCAGATGTATCAATGATCAGTTACCATATTGTACATCAGTTACATAGATGACTGTCTTCTAGTTAAAACATGCTGAGAGGTTGCTGTGAAAATAAGTTATGAAATATTTTAGAAACTCTAAAATAATATATAATAATGCAATCATCAATTGTCTGTTAATATTACATTCAGTGTAGATGTAAACTCCTTTACATTTCTCTCCTTTTCCAATGATTTAATGGTTGTAATGAACATGTTGCAGTGTTATAATAAATATGATCCTAAGTATTAATTGGTATATTTTGCTATAAACATATGTATCCAT